TGTAGAATGGGGTGTGGCCAGCACGAACGAATTTGAAGGGTCTGCAGACGACGGGAAGAACTGCAGATCAGCTAATGTAGCATGCAGCGTATTGTGCCTCTCGCACGGTGCCTACCGCAGGCCGTAAATCGGGCGCCGGAGAAGCCACAGGGTCCCCGGGGCGAAGGTGCCCCTAAAGCCTAGCGGACGGCGCAGGTAGACCTGCTCATGCAAACGGCCCTGAAGAAAAGCTGTCGAGAAGTCAAGAGAGTGCAGCTCGTAGTCATGCTCTACTGCTACGTGTAGTAGCGCCCGAAGAGTAGTCACCTTCAGGGTCGGGGCAAAAGTATGGATTAAGACCACACCCTCACACTGATTGAAGCCTCTAGCTACGTAGCGCGCCTTGAACACAGTCGGCTCTCGGGGATGACGCTTCACCTTGAAGAGCCATCGGCCATCGACTACGTTCACTCCATGTGAGGGAACTGCGTCGACGTAGGTGCCTATGGATCTCCAAGATGCCATCTCCACGTCCATGGCAGCTATCCATTGGGAGGCCCAGGGTCTCGAGGTCGCCTCAGCGTAGGTGCGAGGGGTCGGGATGTCGAAGGCATCTGGGTCCCCCTCAGGGACTAGCAGCATGGAGCAGAGATGAGGCGCGGCCTCAGACAGGAAAGTAAGCTCATACTGCCAACGCTCCAGGTCGTCACTGCCAAGGGCAGTTTCACCCCCAACGGACCGGAGGACGGGCAGGGTCAGAGACTAGAGTTGTGGCGTCGTCAAGGCGGCGGGTACAGGCGAAGTCAGCGACAGCAGCGACAAGAGCGTCAAAACTCGAGACAGGGATAGACGGGTCTGTAACGAGGGAGGGAAGGACTGGAGGAATAGGAGGACTAGCAGCACGAAGGTAGTCAGACAGAGGAGGCGGAGCGACAACAAGCGACGACGGAGGAGGCGAGGGAAGGAGGGGAGGACGAGACGCATGGGAACGGAGCAACATAGTTTGAGAGCGCTGGAATGGAGAGACAAGACGAGCACGAGAGGGATGATGTGACCAGAAGTGTGTCGGGTCAGGAGACATAGGAGGAGAACAAGGGGGGAAACGAGCCGGAGACGAGTTGGCGGAGAAAAGAAAGGCCGTCGACAGGCAGGGGAGGCGGCGGCGGGGGAGGCGCATGTGGGGGGTCAGGGGAGGGAAGGCCGAGCAGGCAAAGGCTGACACCGGCGGCGACTGCTGATGCTGCTTCTCTATGCCGACACAAAAACCTCCAGCTGCACGACGACTACCTCCTGAACGCACCACTCCAACACCCCCAGAACGAGAACCCTCTCCAGCACGGTGCCACCCCCGAGACCGTTAGCACAGCACAAGCCATGACAGTAACCCCAGGATTAGCACCCCCAGAACCAGCACCCCCAGAACGAGAAGCCTCTCCAACATTGGTGCCACCCCAAGGGCCGCTGGGACAAGCCAAGTAAGGAACCCCAAGACAAGCACCCTCCTCAACTCCCGCACCCTCAGAGCCCACAGATAGCAGCTGCTGCTACTGCGGCGGTGATGGCGGCAGCTGCTCCGACAGTGGAGAAGGAGACACTGGGGTGGAAACATGCGGCGAGAACTGCGCCAAAGGGGCCACCAGAGTCAACCGTCTCCTCGACCTAGACAATCGACGGGAGGGGAGTGACGTGAGATACACCAGGTGGAGCAGGACGGGGAGGGAGGGGAGCAGGGGCTACCGGGGGAGTGGGAACCAGAAAAAGAGGCGAGGAAACCGGGAGAACTTGGTGGGGAAAGCGGTGGTAGAAGGAGACAGACTCGTTAAAAGTGACGTCACGCGAGTGAAGGAAGCGATGAGACGGCAGGTGATAAAAGTGTCAGTCAGACGAGTCGAGGGGGAAACCAAGGAAGACACAGGGGACAGTGCGGGCAGTGAGCTTGTCCATGCCAGAGGCACAAACGTGAGCAAGGCAGCCCCAGACGTGGAACGCGGACTCGTCACCACGTAACCCGGTCCAGAGAAGGGTCGGCAAAACCTGCGGCCGCTGGGAGTGCGGAGTGACCTAGGCGATGGTGCCACAGAAGCGACGGGTGAGTGAGTGACCGACACGAGCAAGCCGCAGCGACCTGGGTAAGCGCATGCACCTGGGGGGATGCCCTCACCAGGGGGGACTCGGAGTCAATCGTAAACAGGCCAAACACCTGGTCCCGGGGGAACGTGGTGAGGGGGGCACCTGTGGCGGCCTCGGTACAGAGCGCGTACCGCTCATGGCCAGGGAACGCGCTCGTGGCCAGGCCTGCGCATCCCCTATGTTTCCTGGAGAACGAGGGGATGCACAAGCCTGTAAGGGAGCCCAAGGGAACCGCCGGACAAGGAAGCGTAGTGGAGTTACGGGCAACTACAAGACCTGAGGAGGGGTCAGCAAGCCCGATAGCGACAGGAGCGGCAAGCGGCGTGAGCGCAGTGTGGTCGCGGAAGAAGCAGGCAGACACACCAGAGTCAAGCGTGAACAAGAGCGAAGCGGTAGCGGCAGCCGGCTAAGGGGCGAGCGTGGAGCCTAGGCTAAACAAGGCAGAAGGTCCTATGCCTGACGCAGCAGGGGATCCTAGACTACATAGAGGAGGCACACCTAGACTAGGCAACACAGGGTAATAAGGTCCGGTCACACTGGAGTCATCAGTATACATGGCATGCAAGGCAGAGCAAAGCTAATCCATATCCATCTCAAAGACAGGCACACGACGACACACCACAGTGGGCCATTTGGGAAGGTCCAGCGTAGGGCTGAAACGGAGACGGAAGAGATCATCGAGGCGGCGGAAGTAGCGGGCGGCAGAGTGACTGGTACGACCACACACAGTGCCGCGGAAGGGGCCGGTCTGAAGCTGGTACTGTCAACCCACAGCGCCGAAGCTGCCACCCGACGCCGAGATGCGAGGGCCGCCACCGCAGCCACCACCATCAGAGGCACCGGGCCACCCCGGAGGGAGGCGGCCCCATTACTGCTGCTGCTGCTGCTGCTGCTGCGATTGTTGCTGCTACTGTGGAGGCTGCTGCTGCTCCGTGGCACCAGGCCCAGTCCCCTCGTCGGAACCACCGACACCCCCCCACTCCCACCACCCGCACCCCCACCATCCCCATCACCCTTCCTCCCACCACGCCCCCCCTTGGGGCGGCGGCCCCGACCCTGACGCGGCTGCGCTGAGGCCGCAGCAGCAGTCTCAGTAGAGGCTGAGGTGGGGGTGGAATAGCGAGCGATGACTGCATCTAAGATTTCATTGGCGTTTGCTACAGTGGTAAAGCGGGGACGCTCAGACAGGGGAAGCGCGTGGCTGATAGCAAGCTTTGCGACAGCATCGCGCGAGTCCCAGACAGCACGAGCAAGCGCAGCAGCAGAAAAGGCCTCACGTTCAGTAGTGATGGGAGCAGCAGGGAGGGCAACAAGCACAGCGGGGCGGGGAAGCAGGCCATCGACATGAACAGCCATTGAGTGACCGTCCTGGCGCTGACCTGTAAGGTGACGGTGAAGGTCGATGAGCCACGCCTCGAAGTCGATCGCCTGACCCTCCGCGTCCAGGCGGAGCAGTGAGTCCGGTATCACCACAGCTGCAGCAGCTGACTGCCGCTGACAGGGAGGGGAACAAAGGCAGAGGACAGGGCGGCGGAGAGCGGTGGAGTGTGGTGGAGTGCGGCGGAGAGCGGTGGAGTGTGGTGGAGGGAGGTGGAGTGCGGTGAAGAGCGGAGGAGACAGTCGGCAGGAGTGCCGGCACAAAGAGGAGCCAAGGCCGGTAGGTCGGGGGCGGCAGAGCGGCACGGCGGCACTGCTGCGCGGCGGTTGCACGGCGTGGGGCCGGTGCGGGCAGTGGGCGGCGGAGCAGGTGCCGGTGGAGCGGGGGGCCGGCAAGCTGAGGGCCGGCTAGCTGGGGGCCGGCGAGCTCGGGCTTGGCGAGCGTGGGGCCAGCAGGCACGGGGCTGGCGAATGCGGGAGTCGGCAAGCGCGGGAGCCGGCGAGTAGGGGCTGGCTAGTGCGGGGCCAGCGAGAGCGGGGCCAGCAGGCGAGGGGTTGGCGAGGCGTACGGGGCCAGCGGGGCGCTTGGGGCTAGCGGGGCGAGCGCGGCTAGTAGGGCTCGACGAGGTTAGCGGGACGCGAACGGGGCCAGCGGGGCGCGGATGGGGCCAGCGGGGCGAACGGGGCCAGCGGGGCGTACGGAGCCAGTAGGGCGCACGGGGCCAGCGGGGCGCAAACGGGGCTAGCGGGGCGCACGGGGTTAGCGGGGCGAGTGGGGCTAGTGGGGCTCGACGGGGCTAGCGGGGCGCGAACGGGCCAGCTGGGCGCGGACGGGGCCAGCGGGGCGAACGGGGCCAGCGGGGCGTACGGAGCCAGCAGGGTGTACGGGGGCCAGCGGGGCGCACGGTGCCAGCGGGACACAAACGGGGCCAGCGTGGCGCGAAGGGGCCAGCGGGGCGCTAAGGGGCCAGCTGGGCGTACGGGACCAGCGGGGCGTTAAGGGGCCAGCGGGGCACGAAGAGGCCAGTAGGGCGCTAGAGGGCCAGCGGGGCGTACGGGGCCAGCGGGGCGCGAAGGGGCTAGCGGGGCGCGAAGGGGCTAGCGTGGTGCTAAGGGGCCAGCGGGGCGATAGGGGCTAGGGCGGAAGCGGGCGGCGGACCTAACCTAAGGTGATACCATCTCAAAGTACCGTAGAACGAATGACTAGAATGAGGTTGTACAAGGGGATATAACCTAAGGGGTTGTATTGTACTCTATATAAGCATGCACCTAGCTAGCCTATAACATATACAAATTATATGTTGACAATTAGGCCATCCAGGTAGGACGGGTACACGATGAATCTGCCGAGACTGGGCGTGGTATGTAAACTGGACTAGATTGTTATGAATGGGACTGCCGAGTAGCGCGGAGGGCAATGGCGAAACTGTGAACGAGTGAATGACAATAAAATGAAAGACAATACAATATATAGAAAGCCTAGGGTGATCCTGGACGTAGGATTAGAAGGTTCGGGAAAAGTATCGAAGGGCCTCGATGTGTCGTAGCGAGGTCCGGTAAGGCCCAGGAGGCTCGAACTGATAGGTCTGGAACCCTGGCGATGGTTCGGGACTGTTCGAGTCGTATGCCCTGTAGCAAGCCTCAGTAAGGAATTACTAATTCCTTACATAGATCAAGAAAGAAACAAAAGAGTTACTACTGGTAACGGTACTGCAGATAACAAAATGATTACACTAGAGACGCAAGTGAGATGATTACCATATCCATCCATTCCCAAGAAGTAACAGACATCACCACCAGTGTCTGCCCACTAGCCAACAAGTACCGGTAGTGCCATACTTATACTTGAACATGAGCACTCCCAAAGGCCCACCTTCCCGTGCCACACTCCACTCTCACAGCCCAGCCACCCCACTGCATCTGTGTCCTGTGTCCCCCCTTCTCTGCCACGCCTCACCCGTCTCTGTTCAGGTCCCCAGCTTCACCCATGCTTCAACCAACCGTCGTCGCAAGGCACATGAGATGCACGCCTCTCATTAAGTACCCCCAGTGCCCCACTCTCCCAGTCCGTGGAGATGGTTCAGCCAACGCCTGCCACCCACCGTCCACTGCCCACCATGCCCTCCCTCTCCCCTCCCCCTTTACCCCTCCCCCCTCTCCCCTCACCCGTTCATGGGACTGTCAACCACTGCATCCAGGTCCATGCCCCTTTGAGGCACCTCAAAACCAGGTCCATGCCCCTTGCGAGTAAACTCAGCAGATCGTGACTGCCAAGGGACCAACAGATCCCTGAGTGCACTCACAAGCCAGCTCCATGCTCCCTCACCCGTTCATGAGCTTGTCAATCACTGCGTTCAGGTCCACCCCTCTGCCCGAGTCCATCAGCTGCTGCACCGCCGCCCTCACACGCTCCCTCGCAAACCCCATGCTCGCCACGTCATCCACCACCTTCTCTAGCGGCACGCTCCTTGTACTCACAGGTGCCCCGGACCCAGCACCCCCCCCTACTGCTCGTTCCCCTGCCCTCCCCCCTGCTCCTGGCCCTCCGGCACCTTCTCTTGCCGCACTCACAGGATCAGCGAAGGTGACTCGCCTCCCGCCCCCTCCCCTCACTCCCCCCTTCGCTCCTCCCCCGCCTCCCCCTGCGCCCCGTGCCCCACCCCCCGCTGGTACTGGCTGTGCAACGGCCAGGGGTGTTGCAGGGGCTGGGAAGGCCCCTGGGGAAGAGGAGGATGGGTAGCTGGGGGGCGGGGGAGGGGGAGGGGTGGTGTAGTAGGGCGGGGGCTGCATGGGGGGATCTGGAGGGGCGCCAGGGGGAGGCGGAGGGGGAGGGTAAGGGTATGTGGGGGGCTGGGGGTAAGGTGGTTGGGGCGGCATAGGTGGGTATTGCTGCTGCTGCTGGTGCTGCTGGTGCTGCTGGTGCTGCTGGTGCTGCTGGTGCTGGTGCTGGTGCTGGTGCTGCTGCTGCGGCGGCAGCGGGGGAGGCATGCTCATATAAGGGGGCATTGACATGTGTTGTGGAGGAGGGGGAGGGGGCATGGCATATGGGGGAGGAGCAGGGGGATAGTACATGCCATGCGGCATGGGAGACGCATACATGTGGAGGGAAGGAGGAGGAGGAGGGGGGTATCCAGAGGAGGAGGGGGAGGCGGAATTTGTTGTGGGGGAGGGGAGGGGGAGCAGATGGGGGGAAACGAGGCCCTTCCCCTGGTGGCTGTGTGCTGTATGGGGGAGGGGCAGTGGGTGGGGGGGCGGGAGAGGGAGGAGGAGGGGGCGGAGCAGCAGGAGGAGGAGGCGGGGGAGGGAGAGGAGGAGCATTTGGGGGGGAAGGCTGGACATGAGGGGCGGGGACAGCAGGAGCAGCAGGAGCAACAGGAGGGGGGGGTGGCGGGGGCGTTGGTGGTGGTGGGGGTGGAATGGTGCTAGATGGAGGAGGAGGGGCGCTGGGTGCTGTCTGTGGTGCTGTCTCTGGTTCTCCCATCTGGTGCTGCTGGTTGTAAGCCACATGCAATCGCTCCTGTGCTTGTTGCTCTGGCCCTGCATGTGCCTGTGCCTGTGCCTGTGCCTGTGCCTGTGCCTGTGCCTGTGCATGTGCATGTGCCTGTGCCTGTGCCTGTGCTTGTGCCTGTGCCTGTGCATGTGCATGTGCCTGTGCTGGGCTAACTGCGTCACCAATACCGTACTGCTGCTGCTGTACCCCTTGCGCCAGCTGCTGACCCGCTGGTTCCTGCCGTTGCTGCTTCTGAAACTGCTGCTGCGGTGCCTGCTGCTGCCACTGCTGTTGGCCAGTAGCAGTGGTTGCTGGCAGCATGGGTAGGGACGGTGGTGCCTGCTGTGCTGCTGCCATTGCCCCTACCACTGCCGCTTGTCCAGCCTGCAATTGCTGCTGCTGGTGCTGCTGCTGCTGCTGCTGCTGAAACTGCTGCTGCTGCTGGTGCTCCTGGTGCTGCTGATACTGCTGCTGCTGCTGCTGGAAATGCTGTTGCTGCTGAAGGTGCTGCTGCTGCTGCTGCTGCGGCATCGGTGGGGATGGATAGGCTGCATTGTTCCCAGAATACTGGGTTTGCGCCTGCCCTTGTGCCTGTGCCTGTGCCTGTGCCTGTGCCAGTGCCTGTGCCTGTGCCTGTGCCTGCTGTGCTTCGGAGTAGGACGAGGAACTGGGATATCCTGTGCTTCCCTGCTGCTGCGCTGCTGCCTGCTGCTGCTGTTGAAACGGCTGTGGCGGCTGGTGCTGCTGTTGCTGCGGATGTGGCTGCTGTTGAGTGTGCTGCTGCGGCTGCACCTGTTGCTGCTGTTCCTGCACCTGCTGCTGCTGCTGCTGCTGCTGCTGCTGCTGCTGCTGCTGCTGCTGCGGCTGTGGCTGCAACTGTTGCTGCTGCACTGTCTGCTGCTGGTAGTATTGCCCTTGCCCTACCTGATAACTACCACCCTGCGCCTGCGACTGCGCCTGTGCCTGCGCCTGTGCCTGTGCCTGTGCCTGCGCCTGTGCCTGCGCCTGTGCCTGCGCCTGTGCCTGCGCCTGCGCCTGCTCGTGCATGTGGGACATTTGCTGCCCAATCTGCGCTAGCCCCGCCGCACTGGGTGCAAGGGACGGGTAGCTCACAGCAGCGGGAGCAGCAGCAGCCACGGGAGGAGCACTGGCAGGGGCCGGGGGCGGCGTGGCCGGAGGAGCAGGAGCAGGAGGAGCGGAAGGAGGGGCGGAGTAAGAAGCAGGAGGGGCAGGCGCAGCAGCGACGTTGGGTGGGGGCGGAGCAGGAGCGGAGGGGGGTCGTGGGGCAGAAACAGAGGGGTCGGCGGGAGGAGAGAAGACCTGGGCCTGCTGGGCATCAGCAGGGGGGAGAGGAGGGGGAGGAGGGGGGGGGAAGCGCAAGGGTGGTGCAGGGGGTGGCGGTAGCAGGTGCAGGGGCAGGGGCAGAGGCGAGGGAGAGGTGGTGCAGACGGGTGAGCTCTGCCTGGGCGTCGGCTATCTCCTGCTTGTCCCGCATCACCTGCACGCCCCGCTGCACCTGCACGCACACACGAGGGGTACGGGGCACAGGAGCGGAGAGGGCGGGGAGGGAAGCGCATGGGCGCAGGGTTCAGGGGAAAAGCAGCGCAAGGACGCAGAGCGCGAGACGTACGAAAGGCGTGCAAGAGTCGTGCGAGACTGTGACGTGCGGTGGTAGGGGCGATAGGGACATATGAGGAGGAGAGCGGAGGGCAGGGAAGGCGGCAAGGCAAGGGCTGGTTGGCTCTTGAGAACTCTCAAGAGTCGAGAACCAACTGATGACCTCCGTAGGGAGGGGAAGGCAGCAAGGGCCGACTATGCCCGTGGACTATGCGAGGCTCTGGCCGAGCAGAGTTAGAACTGCCCTGAGCTTCTCCAAAGCTTCCTTCTCGTCAGAGCGTCTAGCGATCCTACCCCTCTTCCTCCTCCTCCCCCCTCCCCCCCCTCTTTCCCTCTCTCTTCGTACACTCGCTCCGAAAACCAACCAGCACCCTTTCCCCCGATATCCCACCTCCTCCCCCCCCCCACCCCTTCCCCTCCTTCCCCCCCTGCCCCTCACCTCCAGCAGCAGCTGTTCCACTGATCTCAGCCTGCCCTCCATGTCCACCTGCCTCTCCCCCATCTCCCGCCACCCCCTCTTCCCCTCGCGTTGCAGCGCCCCCACCGCGCTCTCCACCGCGCCCACGCGCGCCCCCACCTCCCCCACAGCCGCGCCCACGCCCCCCGCGAACCGCTGCAGCAGGCGCTCCACGCCGCCCAGAATCGCGCCAGTCAAGTGGCTCAAGTCCCCCGCGGTTGCGGGGCCGCGCGCCGCTGCTGATGCGCGCATGCCCTCCCCGCCCTGCCCGAAGCTGCCTCCCGCACCAGCACTGCCACTAGCATTTGCGCCTCCGCCTGCGCCTGCGCCTCCGCCTACGCCTGCGCCTGGACCCTCGGCATGCCCGCCACCCGTTCCGCCCCCCAAAAAAGCACCTCCTAGACCTCCCCCTCCCCCTGCGCCTCCCCCGCCACCCGGAAGCCCCACCCCCCCCGCTCTGGGCGCCCCCGTGAAGAAGTCGCCGCTCGCTTCTGCGCGCATGGCTGCCCCCCCCGCCGGCGCGGACGACGGGGCCGAGGCGGAGGAGGTCGCAGCGGAGGAGGAGGGCATGTAGAGCGGGCGCTGGTGCCGCGGATCCTTGCTGTGATCGCCCTGCGCGCAGCACGGAGAAGAAACGACAGCGCATGGCAGCGGGGAGCAAAGACAGTGATTGAAAGAGGGGCTTTGGCCGGAAAGAGCTCGTGCTGCGGTAATCGAGAAAGGTTAAGTCGGGTAGGCAGAGGAGGGGATAGGGGATAGGGGAGGGGGTGAGGGGGTGGGAGAGGCAGGAGCTTCTGAGCGAAACACCACATGCCACGCAGTACGCGTGGGGCGCGTCGTGTGTGGAAGGAAGGCGGATAAGCGCGTAACGCCGCAAGCAGCGCGAGGGAGGAGCAACTATTCCTCCACCCGCGACACACACGGCAGGAGAGCGGTCAGGATCGAGAGCAGGGCGCGGCAGAGGCGAGGAGGCACAACAGAGCCGGAAGACGGGAGACGGGAGACGGGAGACTGGAGACGGGAGACGGGAGTCGACCCTTGTCTCTTAGGGAACAGCGAGGCGTGCGTACAAGGAGGTCCCCGGCGTCGTGGTGCATGGACATGGTCGCGGGGAACAGCTCGTCCAGCGACACCTGCGCGCCCGCGTCGCCGCCCACCGCGTACCTCCCGCCGCCCCCACCCCCCTGCGCAGATTTCCCTTCCCCCAAAGAGTACGCCGCGCTACCCCCACTATCGCCGACGCCGCCGCCGCCGCCGCCGCCGCCGCTTCCGGGATTTGTTGCCGAACCGCCAGATCCCGAGCCGAAGCGGTAGAGATCGTCGATTCTCGGGAGCCGGCCGCCCGCTTGGTACAGCGCGTCGAGCCCTGATGACGTGGACACGGGCGTCGATGACGTGGAACGCGCGGAGGATGGTTGAGATGTGTTCGACGGCTGCAAGAGGTCGAAGAACGGGTCTGAGCTGGCACCTGGAGGATGACGAGACGGCCAGCTAGGATCCATGGCTGCCAATTGGGATATTCCCCTTCTGTCCCTGGGCTGCAATACTAATTACCTCCGCACCGTTAGCTTGCTCCGCCTATTAACTTGTTCGCCAGTTGAAATTGATCCGCCTTATCACTTGCTTGTTACTGCTATCCTTATGCAGACAAATTTTTCCATGCACCCACTACCGTCGCTCTCCTTGCCCTCTACTGTTCACGTATGCGCAGCAAGCTAGCCTGCACCTTGCTCCTAGTGCTCCCCTTCGCACTCTTGTCCCTCTACGAACCTCCTCATGCGGCGGAAGAGCTCGCCAAGAATACCTCTAGCGGACTAGCCAAGCCACCACACAAGCACCAAACCATCAAGCAGGACTTCCCTTCAAATGCTCAAGTCGAGTTGCGTTTCCCAACAAGATGAGGGGCGTGCTGTACAGCGTCCATACTCCTGTCGTCGGAACTTCCACCACACTGAACCACGCGATTATTTAACTGCAACATGCCAGCACCGTTTTTAAAAGTACTGTACCATTCTGGTCGTCCATACTTTCAGACATTCGAAATCGTAGGCACCAAGCCCGGTGAACGGTTTCCCGAAACGCTCTAGGCTAGGGTCACGTCACGTGCGCGACAGCACAGAACCGTTTCCTCGATTACTGACATGCTGACGTGGACTGAGCAGTCAGATGGAGGCTTTGGGAGTAGGTTGCGCTGTCTGACGGAGGGACCAGATAGGGAAAGTATATCAGCGCTCCGTATTAGGGGCCTCGATAACATGTACGGTCAGTGACACAACATAAACAATCAGAATTAGCGAGATCACAACATGATTCATCAGTCGAGTTCCACCGTTAGTCAGAAACTGCAGGGAAAAAGTTACACGAATGGTCTCTAAGGAATTTTCCATTTATTGGGCTGAGAAAAGCCCTTAGGATCTTTCCAGAGACTAAGTCCCAGTTGTAGAATGAGACTTGAGTAGTGCAACGGAAGTTGAGGCAGTTGAACCCTTGTACTAGTATATGAGAACAAGTGATTGATTAAAGAAACAAGCATACAACAATATATAGAAAATAAGAAAGCAGTTGTAGAATACAGTTGCAGGAACGGTTATCGAGTCGCACAGCGACTCGATTGTCGCTTCGGTTACCATCCGCGCTGTTGTAACGGTCAGTCGCAACCTCCAGTTGCGACCCTTCGAGTCCCTTCGCGTTCTTTGTTCGCCCCCTCGTGTAACCTCCGTTGACTCGCGTACCCGTTGCGGTCTTCCTCGAGTGTAGTGTTACACTTCAGAAACGCTTAAGTCCTTTGAGATATTTCCAACACTCCCCTTCGTTTCTGGAGTGCTGACGTGTTCAGATCCGGTGACGTTTGTCTGCCCGGTCAGCAGCGTACAGTAATCGAACTTTGCCTTCGCCAGTTTCTTCGTCAGGTAGTCTGCGGCCATTTCTGTTGTAGGGCAGTAACTGAGTTGAAGTCTCCCCTTCGCGATTTCATCATTGACGAAAAAGTACCGCAGGGCAATGTGTTTGGTTCGGTTGGCGAAGCCGTCCTTGTTCGCGATTTTGATCGCAGATTGGTTGTCGCAGAGGAGTGAGAAGACGGGCAGGGTCGCGATCTTCGCTTCCTCGAGCAACTCTCGTAGGTAGAGTCCTTGGTCGCAGTGCAGAGGGCGATATATTCTGCTTCAGCCGAAGATAGTGCGATTAGTTCCTGCTTGCTCGACTGCCAGGAGATAGTCCCGATAGGTTCTAGTCGGTAGATGTAGCCCGTTCTCGATCGTCGATTTTCCCTGTCTCCCGCGTGGTCGGCGTCGACGTATCCGAGTAGTCGTACGGACGGTGTTGTTACTTTGCTGTAGGTGAGCCCGGTCGTCGGCGTCGAGACGAAGTAGAGTAGTGCCCGGTTGAGCTCCTCGAGATCTTCTTGTTCCGGCTGCTTCAGATGCGTCGCCAGTTGGCTCGCGCTATAAGAGAGATCGGGTCGGCAGGTTACTGCTGCGAATAGTAGGCAGCCGAGCTTCTGTTGATACTCCTGGATTTGCTTCGCGGGGAGTTTTGCGGAGGTGCTGTTGTTGTTCCCGTAGCGGTAGGGAGTTGGGACCGTAGTCGGCGTTAGACCGAATTTCTTCGCGACGGTGCCTGCGTACTTTCCAGCGTGTAGGTAGAACGCCGAGTTGTCTTCGACTACATTCAGTCCCAGGTACTGGGTCACTGCGTCGGACACCGTGAGTGTCAAGTCTTCTTTCAGCTCCCCTTCGAACCAGGTGGCGATGTCGGTAGTGGAGCCGATGTAGAGCAGGTCGTCGACGTAGACGATGAGAAGGATAAAGGCTTCTTTCTTCTGTAGTCGATACATGCCTTGGTCGTGCGGCAGCTGTAGGAAGCCGATTTTTGCGAGGCGACTGTGAAGATGCTGCTGCCAGAGCCGCGGGGCTTGCTTGATCCCGTAAAGGGATTTTATCAGCTGGCATACTTTTGTAGGGTCGTCGATGAATCCGTGGGGCTGCTCGACGAAGATTTCGGCGTCCACAGGTGCGTACAGAAAAGCATTTGCGACGTCGATTTGGCGCAGTGGTAGTTTCTTCGTGGCCGCGACGGCGAGTAGGATGCGCAGGGAGGTGTGACGGGAGACTGGGGCAAAGGTTTCTGTGTAGTCGGTTCCGTATCGTTGATCGAAGCCTCGTATGACCCATCGAGCTTTGAATCGTTCGATGGTGCCGTCCGCGTTGGTCTTGATGCGGTACACCCATTTTCCCGAGAGGACGTTTTTCCCGTTGATGCTTGTTGCAGGTACCAGCTTCCATGTATCTCGGTCTTGCAGAGCCTTTAGTTCCCTTTCCATTGCCTCCTTCCATTTTGCCTTATGCTCCCCCCCCAGAGCCTGCGACAGAGTCGAGGGCTCGCGCGGAGATGGCGGCGGCGGATGCTGGACGGAGACCCAGAGGTCGAGGATCTGCAGTCCCGTGGGTGTGAGTCGAGGGGAATTTTCATTCCCAGAATAAGCTGCTTCGTCACCATCTTCTGGATCAGGTAAGAAGTTTGGGCCGATGCGTTCTGAAACAGTCGTGTCGACGGGGTGGGGTGTAACGTAACCTTGGTCAGCGCAGTGGTAAAAGGTGTCGAGGTTGTTGCTATCGAGTTGATTGTCTTCGTCAAGTGGGACTAGCACGGAGCAGTAAGGGAGTGGTCCGGCAGCTTCCGAAGCTCCAGGTACGTCTTCTTCTGCTGCGTCAGCTTCGGCAGCATGGTCAGCGAAGGAGCGGAGGCCTGCGACACCGTCGGTGGGGTCTTCTGTGTTGGCGATGTTGTCCAGGTAATGTTGCAGCGTCAGTCGTTCGTAGAAGATCACATCACGTGATGCCACGGTAGTTTTGTCTTGTATGTCGAGGATTTTCCATGCTTGAAAATGTTGTGCGATGCCGAGGTGTAGCCCCCATCTTGCTCGTTGAGTGAAACGTCCTGCTCTGGCTGTGTGGGGTCTGTACTGTACCATGCAACCGAAGACTCGAAGTAATTTTGTGCTGCCCCTTTTTCGTGTCCACAGCAGGTGCGGTGATGCGTTGTTGGGAAGCGATGACGAGGACAACAGGTTGTGCAGGTGGACTGCATGTGTCATCGCGTCTGGCCACAGTGTGGTGGGCAGTCTCATCCCCAGGAGCAGCTTTCGCATCGTCGTCTGTAAGGTCCGGTTCATGCGTTCTGCGACCCCCTGCTGCTGGTGAGCGTAGGGCAGAGACACCAGGCGTCTGATTCCTCTTTCCGCCAGATAGGTCATGAAGCGTTGTGACTGGTATTCCAGTGCACCGTCTGACTGGAAGCTCTTGAGCTTGGTTCCTGATTCGCGTTCGGCGATGGGTAGCCATGTCGTGAAGGCGTCGAAGGCTTGGTCACGCGTCTTGAGGTTGTAGTGCCAGACGTATCTTGTTGCTGCGTCGATAAACGTGATGACATAGTTGAAGTTTGCTTCAGCGTCTTCTCGAGGCATGTTTAAAATGTCGCTGTAGACTTTTTCCATCGGTGCGTATGCAGGTGCGCTTGGGTTGTGATGAGATGGGAAAGGCTGATGGGGAAGATCGGCTTCGGGGCACGTGAAGCACCGTGCGCGTGGTCGTCGAAGTTCTTGGCCGCTCGTGGTTAGGAGAGCGTTGCGTTCTAACACTTCGGCTTGGATGGTTTGTAGTATTGTACTATTTGCAAGGTGCCCGAGGCGTTGGTGCCAGATGTCGTCGGGAGCGCGATGGCCGGGCGAGCGGTGGTATATGTCGGTGTTGGAGAAGAACGCGACGACTGTGGCGGGACTTCGACAGACCTCTCGTGTGATGGGCATAAGTTGATCTGCTTCGGTTGGCGGTCCTCGGATCGCTGGCGGTGGTACTCGGCTGGGTCCTACTGCTGCTAGTGCAGGTGATGGTTGGGAAGGGACACTTGCTGGTACTTGTCGTTCTTGTCTGATGACTGCTAATGCTCGTGTTCTCTCTGTTGCAGGTATGGTGTTGGAGTGCCAGAATCCGTCAGGATCGAAGTCGGGGTCAAGATCCGGCGGGTGTGTCCAGGCGGCGAACGACACGATTCCGTCGCTGTCGGCAGTGCCACGGTCGGGGACGAAGTCCAATACGAAGACGCCGGACTTCAGGAGAGCACGACCGATGAAGAGACCGCCCTTCCCGTGGTAAAGGCGAAACTCGTTGGAGTAGGAGTCGCACTCCAGGTGAATCCCTTTTGCCATTAGCTGGCTTACGCGTAGTAAGTTGTATCCCAAGTTGTCGACGATGAGGACCTTGTTGAGTTGAAGTATAACATTTGTCTCCATGGATTGTAACTGAACCACGCCTTGTCTGTTTGTTTTCAGGTTTTCGTTGTTGGCGACGGTGATGATGACGTCGCGGGTGAGTCGTCGCTCTCGTTGCACGAAGCGTCCGGAAGAACACATGTGTTGACCGCAGCAGCTGTCCAAGAACCAGGTGTTTCGCCCGGTGGGTTCGGCGTTGGCGACCGCAGCGTATGTCGGGTTGACCTCAAGTCCTTGTGAGCGCGGCGGCGGAAGTTCTTCTTCGTCTGGTGCGTAAGTGGGTGGTGATCCGGGTGCGCAGTTGTTGATGTGTACCATGCAGTTAATGATGTTTGGTGTCCCTTGTGCAGATGCGGAAGAGCGCCTTGGAGGGCTTTCTTGAGTGGAGGCGACGTGTGGGTCTACTGGACGATAAACACGAGGACGTGTGCAGTTGACCTTAGAATGTCCGAAAGTCTGACAGTTGTGGCAGAACGGCGGCACGAAGGTGAGTCCTCTGTTGTCGCGTTGATCTTGCTTGCCGCGTCGATTGTAGTTGTTGTCGTTCCTTCGTTGAGTGTAGAAAACTAACTGTTGCTGCT